GAGGTGGAGTTCTTTTCAAAGTGTATAATGTCTTGTTATGATAACTCCTATGGGTGGGGCTTCATGTAAACAGTGTTTTACAAATAGTTACATCAGAAGCTGACTGGACACAGCTTTACACAGACAAGGATGGTAAGCGATACTAAAACACTACCATTTAAAAGTCTGCAGTCAAATTCATATTTTATTCAGCAAGGATGCGTTAAAGAAATTAAGTAAGAGATAATCAACGGCTTGCCGTGCATTAAAGGAGTTTAAATGCACGACGTGGAGGCAAAGAACCACCCGACGCGAAGTGCATTTAAAATCCTTTAATGCACGGCAAGCCGTTGATTATCCCGCTTATTCCATGGTCATTTGCCAAGTTATAGACAAGTTAAAACTAGTATTTCTCTTTGCAGCGCAATATTTGACCTCGTTGCTGAGGTGGAATATAATGTAGCGATCTAGTATCTAGGCTATTTTATTAATGTAAGTCGCGGGGCAACGTTGACAGCATCGTCTTTCAGTTTCAATCTTTCTGAAAATCCTGCATTGAAATGGTGCCTTGTTTGTAATCGAATCCGTGGTAAAATGAAGTAAACTAAATACCAAGTTCTTACTGATGAGGTCTGGAACTTCATATAAAGTTAATCCATTTTTCCCTAACATTGGGATCAGAAGGAAGGCGATGCAAAGACTGTTTTCCACAACCTGGCACTGCACAGCATCTTGTTGTCTTCAGTTAGCATCTTTATTGTTTGGTTTCTGCATAGATCTGGGGTTGCCTTTCACTACATGCGCGAAACGGTGGGCGGGGCTAAACAGGCAGCGATGTAGAAGTAGGCGTTGATCATCTTCTGCAGAGGTGGTGTTTAGATCTTTATCACTGTCCCAGTAGATCCCGAAAAAAACAGTAAAATAAGTACAAAAATGCATTACATTTCTGGGGTTATATTAATGTATCACTGAAGGGAACTGTCTTGACAAAAGTTTCGATGGCAATGGCATTTTCTTCTCCGTATAAACCATTCTGTTTTTGTTTTAAATCCTGAAATTAATCTAAATCAAATCAAAAACAACTGCCCGTGCAGATCATGATTAAAATGCAGTGGTTGCCTCTAATTTCAAATGGCTAGATATTTTTGTTTAAAGCCAGTTTGTTTGTTATAAAGCAAATAGCCAATAAATAAATTTGCTTAAAAATCGGTATCAGAATCCAATTTGCTAGTTAAAAAAGAAAAGAAAATCTGAATTCTGAATCAGCTATGATCGGCGCATCACTAATTAAAATACTAAGTAAAAGGCCTCAAATTTGAAGTATAATCTGGGATGTCTTTTTCTATCAATTCTTCAATAGGTAGATCTTGTCTTTCATAAAGGCCGAGGTCAGGGATCTTGGGCCTAAAAAGGTTGGTGACCACTGAACTACACTATTACATCATAGAGTGGCACATTCAACAAGCTGTCGTTTTGGCAGATTGGCTTCAATATAAATTGTTTTTAGACTAACAAGAACATTTTAAGGCTTTTCACACTGCGCTTAACCCCGGGTTATCGTCATTCTAAACACCGCTTTTAACCCCGGGTAAAGAAATGTTTCACACCTGTAATTTGAAAGCGGTGTTAGCACTGCTTTTTACCCAGGGTTATGAAACCCTGCTCCGGAGCATTGCGGTGCTAAGTTTGTTCAGTGTGAAACGGAACGGTGTTTGCTTGTTGCTGCTGGACGTTTGGCAACAGACAGCCAATCAGAAATTGAGCAGCGAGGCTCATGTCACGTCAATAACAGGAAGCGCGCGTCGTGTAAACAGCAGCCGATGAGAGTAAAGTAAGAAATGTCAAAAGATGGAAAGCATGTAAACTGGAGTGGTGAGGCGACGGTATTATTCTTAAAGCGGCTAGACCAACGCGGCGACATTTTTTTTAAAGGGGTCATATGATGCGATTTCAAGTTTTCCTTTCTCTTTGAAGTGTTACAAGCTCTTGGTGCATAAAGAAGATCTGTAAAGTTGCAAAGACTAAAGTCTCAAATCCAAAGAGATATTCTTTATAAACGTTAAGAGTCAGCCACGCCTACCTAAAACGGCTCATTCTAACACGCCCCCACATATCTAGGTCACTATGTAGAAATATTAGCATAATGCCGCCCAAATGTGCACGCAAAGAAAGAACGCGTGGCTTCAGGAACAGCAGTAGTGTTGATGCAGCCATGTCAGGAGA